GTACAAAATAAATAAATATTGCTTTGTTACTACTAAATGAAAAAAATATTTATAAAAGTAAGTTATCTCTTTTTGATGATTTTATTTACTGCCTTTGTGAAAGTCTATGAATGCTTGGTCGACGCATGTATATTGTATATGATTATATACATATGATCATATATTGGCATAGCAGTTAAGCAATAAATAGGATAATCACACGCATTTAACGTTATAGCATTTAATATCGATGAATTGCGAGTAATAAAACTGAAGTATTTTATATCGATGAATTGCGAGTAATAAAACTAAGAATATTTTTAAAAGTTATATGCAAGTTATGAAATAGGAAAATAAGATTAGGAAACTGATCTTCTATGTTACTCACAAAAAAATACTTCTATCCCTATTTTTTGTTAGGAAGATTAGAATAATTTAGAAAAGAATATAAAATTCTCAAAAATATATTAATTGATATTATACACATAAGATGTATTAAACTCGCGAGAGAATTACTTACATATAATATAAATTATACTTACATAAATAAATAAAACGTATTTATGTAAATACGAATTTTAGAATTAATGTCACGTATAATATAAAATATTACAATGATTTATGCATAAGAATAATTATCTTAATTCTTACAAATAATAATTATGTGAAACAGAGAAAAAGACAGAGAAATATAAAAGATAATACATTTTTCAACATATTTTCATTTCAATTCAACATTTGTATATCCATTATAAATTGACAAATAAACTTTTTTAATTTATTAACATCTGATATTTATAAGTCGCAAAAAATCTTATTTCAACTAGCAAAACAAAATTCCAAACAACATGAGTCATGTTATATAGATTTTTATCTATATTCCATTGCTACATAACAGATTAATTTACCATTCTCAAGATTGAATGACCCGCGGATACGATCGTATCATGATAATCCGCTAACATATTCAGTATATCTATTTTTGTTTCATTTACTTTGAATGCGCTGTACAAAGCTAACATATAGTGCATGCATGTCTCTTTTATTTCTTCACATTATACCATTCATAAAAGAGCACATAATAGTCTTTAGGACTCTAAGAGTCAGCATATATCAGTGCGAAATTCTCAGACTGACTTGACAGGAAATTGATTAAGAGCCGTTGCATTAGAATTGCTTTCAAAATGTATATAAAAATTCAATGCATAGATCATTATAGAGAATCAGTGGCAATAATAATTTAAAATAAATGTGTACATATATAATTTACAAACAGTATTATAGTAAGTAAATTGTTTCGTCAATAAAAAATGTAATATAATTGCAAATTAAGTATACGTTAAGTAAAATAAATATATGTAAAGTTTACTAATGCAAATAAAGTTAAATGATTTAATAAGAATTGAATTTTACATTTGTATAAATGTATTTTAATAAATGTTACATGAATTTATTTTATATAGTAAAGTAATTGTTACGGACAAATAAATATTTTATGTATTTTTATCACGGACCATGGGCCATCGCATTAAAAAATTGAGGACGAGGTTTTATGAAATATGAAAGTAAGTGTAGACCTTGAGTTCTATCGCTTTTCTCTCGGATTCAATAATCCCCTTAAAATGCAAATAAAAATTATATTGTAAATTTTAATTTTAATAGCAATATTTGTTATTATTATTAAAATATTTGCTATTAATATTTGTTATTAAAATATTATTATAACACTGCATCTTTGTATAAATGTTATTAATTAGTAAAAAAAATAAATTCATTTTTGAAACATAGACATTTTTTTACGTATCATAAAAAATATATCTTTAATGAAAAACTTTTAAATATTATAAAAGAGCTTATTTAAATTTTAAAATCATTGTTAATATAAATACAAAATCGTGTATCTTGATAATATAAAAAATTATACTAAAGCTCTATAAATTTTCTCGGTATTATAAAGATTGATTGCGTCTATTGCAGCAATAGGAAAATTGTAATGCAATAGGAAAATGAATGTTATCTCATTATCTTGGATTCTCCCTCTTTCATCACATTAGCACGAGCTTGCAAACTAGGTGATTAATAATGCTGCAACGAAATACGAAATCGACGTAGTATTCTGCTTATCGTTAATGATAAACTTTATAAACTCTTCCTCTCTTCCTTCCTAGGAAGATTGTGACTACAACTACAACTCAAGGAAAAACAGATCAATAATCAATTTTTTATATGCTTTATATCGTAATATTTTAATTATAATAGTATAATTAGTACATACAGAGGTGATACAAGGTTCACCTATTCATACGACTCTGATCGTAAACAAAAGATTCCCAATCTATATAACAATAAAAAATCCCCAATCTTAAGTGATAGAATACGGACAAGACGACTGAAAAATTAGGTAAAGAATATTGTAATCGCAAAATTTACGACTAAACTAGCAAGTAAACTATAAGAGTAAATATTAATGCATTTTATAATAATAGTAAACGATATGCAATATTTTATTTATATAAATATGTTGTAACAATAAACTATAATTAAAAATATATTACTCATAACAAAAAAAATTTATTATTATACAAACAAAAATATTAAAAGCTATATTTATTTTGTATATCCTTTAATTTTATTTAAACTGTAAATAAT